GAGTCGAATTAGTCTAGAATCGATTAATTTTATGGAAGAAAACCTTTCAAAAAGCCGTAGTCCGTAAACTGCATACGTACCGGGCTGTGATTGGCTCATGTATTTAAGGATACCTACAACGTAAAATTCTTATAAAGTGGAACGTATCTACTCCGTTATAGGGGGTCGACTGTATCTGAACTTACCGCGAGTACGGCAACAACCAAATAGGGTCGGCCGAGGTATACATGGAATGGATTTTGCTGTCTCTTTAGCATTTAGCGTCAAACCTGATACAGTAATAGATAAATGCATTCTCATTTGTTGAAAATATTCAATTCTTCTAAATTAGGGCTTTTCTCCCAGATACAAGTTAAAGATGTCGGAAAAATTCAACCCTTGCCACTTGCTCCGAATGATAATTTGAAATATATTTAAAAAATTATTTTTCAATTTATTTTTCCAATTTATTTTATTATAAACAGTTTGAAGGATTTATCACCTTATAGGCTACACTTTAAAGCAACAGTAAAAGGAATGGTAATCTGTAAAAAACGCACTGTATTATTCTAATATTATTCCATAATAGGGGCCGAGTTTCGAGGGATAAAGTTCGGCAAATCCAAAAAAAAAACGCCAATAAAGAATTTCTGGGATTCTTATCTAGACCCTAACTTCAAATCATCAGAATGGAAGGCCCTTTAACACCTCAATTATCTGCCTAATGAGCATTTCAGGTTCGGTGATTCAGTCATCCAGCGATATCCGAAACTCTTAATATGTTTTAAACGATTTATTTATTTATTTATCACAAAATACAATAAGAATTTATTCGTCAAAATTCCCTTTCGAAAGTCTCCTTGCATTAAGAGAAACGTCGGAATTAAAGCAAATACAGGGCTTTCTATTGTGTCAACATTTTGATCGTAACGAGATTTTGATTTGTCGACCTTTTCAAACTTCGAAATTTTGATCCTATTAGGATTTTGACGGTGTCGGATATTCAATCCTGTCGGGATTTTCATTAAATTCCAGCTGAAACATTAATAACATGATAATATAATACTATAGTTAATATCAAATCAAATATGAAGATTAGAAAACCTTGACATAAATGAATTTTCAGAAATTCGTTTAATTTAGTGAATTAAATAAAAATTGGAATCGAAATCCAAGTTTTATTGGAATATTATCGAGTTAAATTATCGGCATTAAAGTAAACAATGACAAATTATTCCGTAATTGCTTAATTAATCAGTAGTACTACAAAATCGGATTTACTCTTTTCCTCGTCTGTAAGTATAATTATGAAAAGTCTTATAATTTATTAATATTATTAGAACATTGAAATTCCGTTATCTGTATAGCAAATACTCGGTTATATTGATTGAGAAAAGTCGAATTAACCGAATTGATTCCAGAAATTAACAAATGCTTGATATGAGATAATCGAATCGACTCCATTAGATGATGATTTGAACCTGGCAAAATTATTATTAATCTCCTTTATTTGCATCACTCGTGAAATTCCTAAGAGTCCGACAGAACAAATTCCCGACGCACTGGCGCCAGAAAGAAACTAAAGTAAGGACATCGTTAAATTCTTTCGACTCGAAGTACTGTTACGTCACCTAGTTTCGGACTAGGTACCAATTGCGTTTGATCCCAGAAACCAATCGACGGATTATAAAAAAGGCGCTTGTGAAAAATATATTAGAGACGAACCGAAGTCGGAACATTTTGCATCAAATAGATCGAAGCAAAGTCACATTAGCCAACCTTTTAGATGATCGTGTGTGGAGTCTCTAAGCTTTAGGTTTTATTCGATTAAGGCAACTCAATCTGTCCTTCCTTAATCTCTGAAACGGAGTTAGATAGATGAACGTCGAGACCAGATCCAGATATATTATGGCCAGTAGGCCCCAATTAACTATGTACGAACTTCGAGTTTGAGCGGGAAGTCACGTTATTTCAATTCAAACGTTTTCCCCTGAAAGGAGTTACATGACCCGCATGACTCTATTGCTAACGGAAAAGTATGATGTACAGGGGCAAAACATTACTGATTTGAGGTGGAGAGCATATATTTTAAATTAAATAAATTAAAATGTGTGCCTTAAAGGAAATTATTTGTATTATCCTTTAAGGCACTCTTTCGACGTCTTTAATTTGGCTTAAAATATTTCTTTAAAAAATTTAATGTAAATTTCCTTTCGTGCTTTTAAATCTTTTCTCTCTTGACAAGAATCTTTTTTACTGATACTTTTAATTCCGATGCCTCGAATGAACGATTTCGAAATACGTAATTAAATTATTATACAATTTACAAAATTAGTTTCGATGAGATTATGCTCTAGTTTTATGTTATAAATATTGAATAAAACGTACAGATAACACAATGAAAAATAAATAGAAAGTAAGATACGAAATTGAATTTATTGCAGTTTTCTATGACCTAAATTAACGAGTTAGCGACAATTGAGAAGCCAATGGCATTTTGGTGTACGATCGACACGACACTTATCTGTTGCTATTTCTGTCACTCAGAATGTCTACTTAATACATTTATTAGCTATAACTTCGGTTGACAGACTACTTATTGAAATGGGATGCAGTGAATCACAACTGATCCCAAAGTGAAGAAGATTTACTAAATCAAATATCGAAGTGTGGTCAACGTCCTCTCCAGGAATATCGACCTCAAAAACAAAACGAAACGCCAGTCCTTACTGATTGAATTCTCATTAGAAACGGTAACATATAGTAAAAAATAAAAAAAATATACTTGAATATAAACAAGGAGATGATGATGGTACTGACAAATGACATTTCTCATTATCTGTCAAAGTTTCGATATCCTGTTAAGCATTTATTCTAAAAGAAAATATTAAAAAACAGGTTGAAAGACTTTGTGTCATCCACTCTTTTGTATCTAAGAAATTACCGATATACTCTTTAAGTTCTAATAAAAATGTCCATCAACACATTCTCTTCTTACATTATTGGGCTGCAATTTGAAAAAAGTATGATATACAGGGGCAATACACTACTAATTTAAGATGGAGAGCGTATATTTTAAATAAATTTTTAAAAATATGATTAAAAATTGCAACCCAACATTGTGACCATGTCACAATAAATAATTGTTCGTTGAACATGAAATGATATATAACGAATTTTAGTTTTAGTTAATATTGTAAGTTGTCAGGGTGCCATTTCACAATGAATAGAGTTACTGTATTTTTATCACTAAAAAAGAGGCCATTCTGTCATTTCATCTTTACAGATCCAGAAATGGAAGATAAAAAGAGGACAAGAATGTCAGTTGGTTGTCGTCGATGGAATCTGGCTTCTCCTCAAAATTTTAAAGCAAAAGTTAATTCATATACACAATGTATACAACTATATATCTTCATAAGTAACTTATTCAGATAGTTCGGATAGAGGTTTCACGTCTCTCAGATTGTTAGTCTGGTCCATGGCAAAACTGTATGGAAAAAATTTAAAAAGAAATATTCAGAAAGTTGTTTAAATGCAATTTAAGACTCTAAAAAAAGACAAGATGGTGGAGGAAAAAGAAGCCAAAGAAGATGGATTTGTCAAATTAATATAGTGTATACTACACTATTTATTATAATTTTAATTAAATAAATAAACTCTACTATATATCAATTAAAAATAATTCAATTATATTCTCTCGAATATATAATCAAAAATAATAAAAACGAAAAACCTTAATTAGACTTGGCTTTGCTGTGAATAAGAAAGAAGAATATAATTGAGTAAATAAACTTTAAATCTACTTTTTTGTTATAAATTCGACAGGCTTTTTAAAATTTGTTTTAGAAGAAAGCTAATCATTTATTATGTTATATGCCTAACATTGAAAGGGAAAAATTCGTTTCCGGTTGCAAATGCAATAATTTGTCATATTAATGTAGTTGATAATCTTGAATCTTTGCTTGGAAATTCAAAATTTTGCACGATAAAAAACTTAAGCACCTGTATCACTGGGGAAAGAAGCTTTTCTGAACACCTGGTATTACGTAAACACTGCCGAACACCTCCTCAATATTCTTAATAACACTCTTTAGGCTCTCGTCTAAAAACAGCAGCATCGTAGTAACTCTATAAGAAAGCATTTCCGAATCTTTATGATTTTTCTATTGTTTCTGGTGAGTAAATTTGATCTTTCTAGTTTCTTGTGTACTTATTCAAATCTAAATTATATATTTATATATTTAAACTCGAATTCTGAGCCATAAATTTGATTAAAACTCGCAAAATTACGTAACACGATACTTTTGAAGTGAATAAACATTAAAATAATTCATTTTGTTTCTATTTGATGATTCGGTTTATTCAAAAACCCCTTTATTTTTACGTATAAATATATAGATAAAAAGCAAAAATTTGCATTCCCTTCAAGAAAATATATTTAAGAAATTTTCACTAGTTGTAGTCACTTTAAATCGTATATTTAGTCGTGTTTAAATATAACTTATTAATTATGAAAATTTATACATTCAATTACATTAATGTAATGTAGTATTGAAGATCAGAATTTTTCATCATTAACTAATTCAAATTCATCATTACGATTCAAAACTAATTTGCATGAATTCGAGGTCGAATTTATTTTTAAAATCTAATAAATAAGTATATAAGTGAATAAATTATGATACTGATAATGATATTAAATTTTATTCGTAAATCATTTAAATGTCATGCAACGGCAAGTATTAATATAAAGTTAAAAAACTGATCATGACAAGACTTATGCAAATTACGTGAATACTGATGAGAATTACAATTTACATGAACGAATGAGATGCATAAATATTGGCGAGTTATAAAAATCAATAAATATTATCACACAAATATGACGAAATTTTAAGAAAAATATAATACCTATAGAATTAGTAAAAAGGTTTTTTTTCATTATTTTAATTATAGAGATTACAATAGCGTGTTAAGGTGTCAAAACTCTACCTCGAAACCAAAAAAATCGCACTCGAGATATTGCAAAACGTCTACTGTATATCAATGAAGACGGCGATATCGATTTTTTCCGCAAAAATTACTCGTCTAATTCTTAACAGAAAATAAAAATATATAAAGTGATAGAAATATATTAAGATATGAGAACAGGTAAATGAATTGTTGTTTGAATTACAAATGAGATTAGAGTGCTGTAAGTAGAACCAGCAATTATTTTTTATTTAAAATATATGCTCTCCATCTCAAATTAGTAGTGGCTTCCTCCTGCCCCTGTACAGTACATCATACCTTTTCTGTTACAATGTAGTCGTGGTCATCTATTTATAATTTCTTAAATATAATTTAAGAAAATATTAATAAACTGATTTAATTTTAATTTATAAACGTTAGAGAATACAATACCTGTAAGAGTATAACATCCTTTGATAGATTTTAATAGGTGAGTATACATTATAAGACTGGTATACGGTATGTGTAATACTTCCAACAATTTGGATTGGGATTAGTGAAATAAGAAACGCAACATATAGGAGATCTGCCTAAAAGTATAGCCTTACGGGAGGACTTTCTACGGTAAACTTGTTCCCCGTTTAGTGTTTGACAGGTAAAGAAAATAAACGTGGCCAGACTATCGTTCAGGCGCGAGCTGTCCGTCTGTCGTTTATTGATCTCGCGAATGGTGTTAGACAGATGAAACACAAGACCATATATGGAACCTTAAGAGCAGAAGGCCCCGATTAATTATATAAGAACCTCCGGTCTAGATCGAAAGTCACGTTATTTCAGTTCAAAAACTTCCCCCCTAATGGAGTTATATAGATAACCGGCATAACTCGGTTGTTATCAGGAAAAGTATGATGTACAGGGGTAAGACACTACTAATTTGATATGGAGAACATACATTTTAAATTGAAAACTTGAATAAATTAAAAATGTGATTAAAAATTGCAACCCGGAATTGTGACGGACCCAACCTTCGCTCTCATTTTGGACCTAGTGTGGCACTAAGAAAAAAACCATTTTTAACATTTATTCATAAATTTACATATTATTCTGAAATAATACAGTGAAACCTGCTAATGTGACCACCTGTATAATGTAGTGTAAGGCGACCCTTTTGAGCTGGTCCCTTCGGTGGTCACATTAGCAGGTTTCACTGTATGCAATATTAAATTAATAACTTTCTGCATATTTCTATACACATTACAGTTGATATAACAGTTTTAAAATGTTATTGAATCTTTTAGTATTACAATTTTTCTAAATAATTTATGCACAAACTAAATTAAAGTGCTGCATTAATAATTTATTTATTCAATTTAAATTTCATAATTTATAATAGCAACCAAGTTTAGAATATCATTTAAATTTTACATTTAACATTAATTAACATTGATATTCTAAATATACGTATAGAAAAGGTCAAGATTTAGTTATTTACTAATTATTGTTGTATATAATATTAAATAAACTTATAAAATTTCTTGTTAATATTGAAGATTATTTAATTATTTAAATGTTTTAAATATATTTTATAACAATTGACATCGCATTATTATATTCGAAGCTCGGATTTATTTATAAAGTAATAAAATAAATAATTACAAAGAAATGATGAATAGAAATGAATAACTTCTTTTAGTCGAAAATATCTGAAATTTTGCAGGGAGGTTTGTTTATTAGGGGGATTGATGCTATTAAATTTTGGTGGTTTAACTATTACTAAATATATTATTTTACATGTTTCGTAGTAAGAATATAAAAACTCAGAAACTGCTTTAAATGAATAAAATTAATTCATTCTATTTACAAATTACATGTAGCCTGTGTTATTATACTGTAATTATGAAAGAAATTTTAAGAAAACAAAAGAATTTTTGTGTTAAAAATAACAAGGAACTATCGAAATTCTTCACTGGTTGTTGCCATGATTTATTTCTATTCTTATCGAAACTTATTTATTAATGAAAGTAATCACGTCTTGTATTAATTTTAGATAAGATATCTCTGTTTTTAGTTAGAAAACTTCAAAATAATTTTTATCTCTATTTCTAGAATAATATATTCCGTTAATAAGGTATTCTAATATAATAAAATTTATAATGTGCATCGCGAGTGATCAAATATTGACTTTTTTCTTTAATTTCCTTTTTAAAATATATTCTCTCCACCTCAAATTAGTAGTGGCTTGCCCCTGTACATCATACTTTTCCTTTTACAATAGAGTTGTGCCAGAATCTATCTAATTCCTTTGGGGGAAATATTTGAATTGAAATAACGTAACTTTCCGGTGTAAACCGGAAGTTACGTTATTTCAATTCAAAGGTCCCATTTTATCTCCCAAACCCTAGGGTTTGGGAGATAAAATGGAATCGTGGGTCTCGAATGGGTCAAACTTAATGACGATTTTATTTGTTATTAGCATTTACAGTCGACCCCTCTATAACACGTTGATTATTCCGTTTTATATGAATTCTATGTTGTACGAGTCACTTAGATTTTACAAATACGAGAGCCGTTCACAGCCCGGCACACGTATTTGTAAAATCTAAGTGACTCGTACAACATGGAATTCATATAAAACGGAAAAATCAACAGTGTTATAGGGGAGTCGACTGTACATCCTTTTATAAAACCCACTCCTACTTTCAAAATTAAGCTTTTTTTCATTTTATAATCATTTCATAATAAAAACATTTTTAAAAATGTTCTTCAATAAAATATATGTCATTTGGCGCTACACACGCAGTTATAACTGTTGCCGGGAAAGTTAAGCAACTTGTTGCTGGATTTTTTATACACACGTTAGGCGTTAAATTTCTTTTATAAAATGTTAAAAAAAAGAATATAAATATTGTATTAAAGCATGAAAATACAGTATTTGCGAAGTTATTCTATTGATATTATTATAAAAATATATAAATCTGAAATAGAAATATAAAAAGTTGCAGCAAATATTCTAACATATAACACATATTATTACATAAAAATTCAATTTGGGAAGGAATATAAATCTTTTGAAACATATTTTATACGCTTATTTAATATAAACCTTTCTAGACTGTTGCTGAAAACAATTTATAATAGTATTTTTCAATCTTCTATAACTGAAAAATTGTAATATTATCTTATCTCTATTGTAGATATTGATCTACAGCAAGTTAATAATATATCGAATAACGTTATTTTCTATTTAAACTTAAAAATCGCTTAAATATTTTGCTATGACGTAAAATTCCCGAGGTGATTCAAAAGTCTCCATACAACAGACACCCGAAGAGCGCGTGTGCACGCATAATACTGTGTTAACACGAAAGGATATATTATATACATATATGACATACACATAGATCATATTTTATGATTTATAATTGAGCATATAAAATTTGGCAATTCTTAAATTGTAATTAAGATTTCCCTTTATCCCGAATGCCTCTTTAAATTACACACATTCTTCTCGAATCACAAATGTCCGGCTTAGAAAGATTTTACTATATTATTAGTTTAATTTTATATAAACTGTTTCGCTTTATTTCTCTATAGAATTCAGATTATATTAAGTAGAGTAAAGTAACAATAAGCCAATTATAGAGGTTTTCTGGTGTTTGATTAACCTTGACGAAACATTACACTCTAGGGAAAGACAACAAATCTTTAGTCTCTACCATTATTAAATGATCAATAAAACACAAATCTCTCTCATAATTATTATTATAGTCGAATTTCCAATAAAATCCACCTCTAAAAGGCCGAATATTTTGTCATTTTATAATAGTTAAAAATATAAAAAATGTTTTTATAGAATATGATAATAGATGGCGCCACCAAATGTTGCCTGGAAAGTTAAGCAACTCGTTGCTGGATTTTTTTAGAGACACAAAATAACCTCCGAACAACGGCCGTTTTTTATATTTCCGTCAGTGACCGTTCTTCACAGGTTTTACTGTGTATAATTCTTCGAAATATAAATTATTTCATAAATATTTTAGGTGTCTTTTCTATCTGGAATATTCTTTATTTATTTGTTTATTCATTTATAACCTATAGATAAAGGCTTAATTTAATCAAAAAAGGAGAATGTTGAACTAAAAATAATTCACTGCCTAATGAAAATGTCAAAAAATAGAGGAAAATTATTTTCCATGTTGATAAATACTAAATCAATTGAAAATAACCTTTATTTTATCTAATTAAATTACATACGATTAGAAAGACTCAACCAATTATTCATTATTTAAACAATAATTTATTAATTAATTCCAAATTCAAATAAGGAATTTAGTAACGATGTTAATATTAATTCTCCTGCTTTCTTTAAATGTATAATTGATTAAAACAGATCGAAGAGGTTAATTTAAACAATTTTTTTAACGTATAACAATATTTTGATTGAAGTATTTCACTAATTCAATTCATTATATTATTGAAAAAAATTTGTAAAATTGAATTTAATAAATAAAATCTCTAAAATTACTTAAATTTCTTTGATTTTTTTCGTTTTTCTTCGATTTATAATGTAAATTCACTGTTAGTATTGATAAATATCAACAGATGGAAGTAGAGGAAATTTCTGTAAACAATTTATTACTTTCTCCTGTATACAGTAACTTTTATGAGAGCGTGATAAAACTTATCACACAATCTTCTCATTATTTCACAATTAAATAATATTAATAAATTTTATTGGGATGCAATTTGAACTTAACTAATGCGTGATATACCATGGGCATAACTATCTGCAGATAATTATTATGCAGTATAATAAACTAAGAATATAGATTACCTGATTAATAGATTACCCTTTCAATGCTCTTTACTTTATGGAAATCGACAAGATTTTTACATTCTTGGACTAGGGGGATCTTGAAACGTCGAGAAATGCAAAAAAATTCGGGGGATTTTTCTGTATGTATACATGTTTGCGTGTGGGGAGGCACGATTTTGTTCACCCTGTTTAAAGCTTAATAACTCCTGTGCTTTTTGTCGAAAATTTCTGAAATTTTGCAGGGAAGTTTCTTTATTAGGGGAATTGATGCTATTAAATTTTGATAATTAAAGATCGAGGGGTGAGGAGATAAAGACGGGTCACGCATCATATACGAAGTGGAATCGGAATTATTTATAAAACTCGTCTCTATCGTCAAAATTAAGCTTTTTGCTATTTTATAATAATTAATAATGTTAAAAAGTTTTAAAAATAAAATCTCGTAACAGATGGCGTCGTATGTAATTTTAAAATTTTGCGGAAAAGTTACGCAACTCGTTGCTGAAACTTTTTAATTGTAGTAATTGAAACTGTTTTTAAAAATATCGAAGTATGAACAAATAACTTATTTTACTCTATATTAATAAATTTATTGACAGAAAACCGTCATTTTGCGCTTATTTTCTTGATATTATTCATATTTCTGTAGAATTTTATCATTCAATTCTTACAGGTTCAACGTTCTCCAAATGGAGTATCTGCTAAAGAAGAATGGCATCTATATAAGAATATTTGATTCGTATGTTTATTACATCTGAAAAGTATCAATATATTATTAATATTCTATGGAATAACGTTTTTCTCGTGTGTAAATTACTAAAAGTCATATTACGTAATAAAAGTTTTAAATATTTAAATGCTGTGTAAACTTATCTTTCTAATATGGTTAAGAAGAAAACAAATTGTTCAATTTATTTTAGAAAATTCAAATTTATAGCGTTGATAAGTTGAAATTTTGAAAGGAAAAAGAAGATTTATATATATTTTTTGCACGAAAAATGGCATACAAATAACATTTTGTAAGAGATACGAAATTTCAAAATTGCTTTCGATGTTAAATTTAAATAGTATAAACGAGCAATTATTTATTGTGACATTGTCACAATACCGGGCTGCAATTTTTAATCATATTTTTCATTTATTTTATTTAAAATATATGCTCCACACCTCAAATTAGTAGTGACTTGCCCCTGTACATCATACTTTTCCTGTGAGCAATAGAGTCGTGCCAGTCATCTATTAACTCCTTACGGGGGAAATTTTTAATCGAAATAACGTGATTTTTGTTTTGCATCGGAAGTTCGTATATAATTAATTGGGGCCTCCTGTCTGGTCTTGAATTTCATTTATCTAACAGCATTCTTGAGATTAAGGACTTATTGCCTAGTTAAACATTATAATATTGGCAAACTGTGTAGAGTTTTAGCATAATCTTTTTTATTTAAAAAAACAGTTATTGTTTAGTTAAAATATTTTTAACATTTATATATATTTGAAGTTTTCTTAGTTTAATAACTTTTTTAAAACTTTAGGCAATTTAAGAGATAGATCTTCACGTCACTTGAAAGAGTTCTCCTTATTAGCTGATAAGAAAAAGAAGCATTACAAAAAATATAATCCTGTTAAGTTTATTTAATTATAAAGATGGGTTTCTTACAATTTTCTTTTCTGTTTTTTTTTAGTTAACAGAAAACATTCGAGTAGTTGCAGTCTTTGCTGAAATTACTGAAGATACTGGGACCAGTTTTGCATCTCTCCAAGTAGATGATTCGCAGAAAATCGTTCAGAAACTTTACTAGGAAAAGAGAAATTGAAGCAAAGGATGAATCCTCGAGCAAAAAGAAAACCGAGCAACGATCACCCCCTAAAGATACTCAAAACGAATGGATAAATGAAGGGTTTCTTCAACCGGTTAGAAATCTCAATAAACGTTTATCATCCTTTCTTTCTCCCAGAGGTGCTCGCAAGACAAATGTTCCCAACGATGATAAATTGAGAAACTTCATCTCTAGGAGATTATCGCTTCCAAAAAACTCTCGCCTAAATCAAAGGAAAAAAAGTAATGAAAACGAAGGAAGATCGGATGTTTCCACTCCTCTTCCCAAACCACAATGGACCAATAGGATCAACTTAACGTGGAGAAAAGGGAAAGTAAGTTTACCTTTTATTTAGTTTTAAAAATTTTAATATTTGTAGTTAATATTTATTTAATAATTATGCAAAATTATATTAATATGTCGCGAACAATAAAAGTTTATTATTGTTCACATTATAAACACTTTGCTTATTGTAATCAGAATTCGGTTATTTGTATCATTATCTGGGTAAATAGGCCTGTTTAAACTGTTTTTTTCTGCTATCAGCCTTACGATACGGATGATAACACGCAATCGTTATCAACTAACACCTTCTGTGCCATGGGGTACAGAAGATTAGAGGTCTCTCTACATCATTTTACAATATTAATTACTATAAAATGGTAAAAAAACTTAATTTTGAAGGTAGAGACGAATTTTATTTTAAAAACAATTGTAAATGCTAATAACGTCTGAATTGATCCACCACATTATCGCCTATACGACCCAAGTCTATGTCAAGCGGGGAAAAACTCGACCACGTTGACGAACCCCAACTACAGCATCAATACCCCTAATACACAAATCTTCCTGAAAAATTTCAGGATTTTTCACAAAAGACCTATGAATTATTAAGCTTCAAAGTGGGTGAACAAAATCGTGTCCCCACACCCACACACTAACATACATCTAACATAACTTATGGGGCAGAATTTTGTTCACTCACTTTGAAGTTAGCCCACCAGTGGCCTAGTGGATAAAGTCATCAAACATCGGTAGCTGTAGAAGGAATCGCGCCTGACCACGTGAAATTTTCCGGGTTTCTTCACGTTAGTAACACCTAAATAGGGGCACGTTTCCCAAAAAGATCTCGAGAAGCATCTCCTTCGGCAGATCGCTCGTGTGTTGCTTTGTCTTCTACGAATAAAATCTATGCACCTTAATAACTTTCGTGTCTTTTGTCGAAAATTTCTGAAATTTTGCAGGAAGGTTTGGTTATTAAGTGATCGATAATATTAAATTTTAATGATTAAAGATCGAGGGGTGGGTCATGCATCCTATCTCGAGTGGGGTTGGACTTAATGAAGATTTTATTCGTTATTAGCATTTATAACTTTTTATAAAACTCATCTCTTCCATCATAATTTAAGATTTTTTGCCATTTTATAATAATTAATAAAATATCTTAACAGATGGCACCACATACAATTTTAAGTTTTTTGCCGGAAAAGTTAAGCAAATCGTTGCTGGATTTTTAACTATGGGCGACGACTCAATCCACTAACCCGTCACTAATTACCAGCCGAGGGATTTTTTTCGCTGGCAACATTACCATATTAGAGACATGTAAGGTGACATCACGCTTCTTAGCACTGTTCTCATTACTTAATTCGCCGTAGTTCTTATTATTGTAGAACCAACTAAAATAATAATACAGTTTTTAGTGTGATAGATGGAGTGCTCGCGGTCGCCCGGTCAGGTAGCTCCGGTGTAGTAGTTAATGAACCATAATATATTAAAAATCATTTTGTTTATATTCTATTAAAATTTCTAATAATAGTTTTTAAGTTTATCCATAAAATAATTGCATCGTAATTTTAAAATTTAGTAAATAATTTAGTGACATTTTTCGGAGATTTCGGCTATTTTTAATGTCTTATTGACGTCAATGTATTGTAAGAATGGTTATAAATTTATTCTTTTGAATCTTATGACTCGCATATTTCCTTCTTGCGGTTTTATTAAAAAAATAAACATGAATAATGGTAAATATTTCAAAGTGGCCTCTCGAATTGCATCGAAATCAAACAAAGAAAACTGTCATTTTAAAATGTTAAACAATTAATTAAAAAACAAACTGTGATTCTTCAATATAAATAAATCGCTCGTTAAATGATAGCGACAACTTTTAATGTGACGTAGTTATCTTAGTATTACATGTTATTCCTATTGTGCAATTTATATGACGTGCCAACTGTTACGTGTTACAGTCTCATCAATCCTAGCGATTACGTCACGGTTAGTAAGATTCGTGAATCATATTATCCAAACGAAAAATAATACTTCGCGTGTGTAATTTATTATTCTGTTTTATTAAGGACGAGGCACAAGATAAAGCTGGGGACGTTAACACTTGTAGAATTTGTATAGCACGGAATAGTTATTTGTGTTCACGTGACAATAAAGCAGCTTAGACGAGCCACGTGATCAATCTTCTGTTTAACTTTCTTTGACATCTTTACTTTCCAGACATCGACCTTAAATCCTTTTTCTAATGAAGGATTTACTAAATCTTCTCTATTTTTTTTCCTAAGAAATTAGACGTTTTTGTTTGAGGTCATGATTCTTTTACACCTGTCACGTATCAACTTATCTTACAATCGTTTTATCTACGAATACACTCGCAACTGGCTTTAATCAGGTTAATAGTTTTTTAAATGTCTAGTGTTATAGGGCATAAAACAATTCACAAAACAGTAAATCCATCTCGAGAGTCGTTTATATAAAACTTATGGTAGTACATATTACAAAATTATCCAGATAATTCCAATACTTGCAGAAATACAATAGACAAATGTCACAACTTAACTTTTATCCGAATAAAATAAATAAAATTGAAGCAGTCACGTTATGTTATTACTTAGCTTGATAGCTTGCCAATAGTTTACTCGACGTATCAAATATTCTCGTTTGATATTCAGTTTTCGTTTTGCTTCGAGCTGTTTATCTACATTTCGCAAAGAGAAAATCGATTCACAAAAATTCTTTTGTTTGTTGTCCTCCTTCAACACGTGATAAAATAATACTTAAGTCTAGAAGATGATTACGCTTTTCAAATACTTCGAATTATGTTTGAATTATTTTTACTTTCCCTGCTGTTATATATAACAGAGGAAAAATGTGGCGATCGGTCAAAAAATGCCCCCCTTCTCAGATGTTTACGTTTTTGAACTCGGGAGACCTTGAAACGGCGAGAAATGCAAAAAAAAACTGCGGGTTTTTTTCTGTATGTATAGATGTTTGTGTGTGGGGGCACGATTTTGTTCACCCTTTATAAAGCTTAATAACTCCTACGTCTTTTCTCGAAAATTTCTGAAATTTTGCAGGAAGATTTTTTTATTAGGGAGATCGATGCGGTTAAATTTTAATGATTAAATGTCGATGGGGTGGGGAAATAAAGAAAGTCGTGTGTATCTCCAGTAGAGTCGGACATAATGAGATTTTACTCGCTGTTAGCATTTATAATTTTTTATAAAACTCATTCCTACCCTGAAATTTAAGCTTTTTGTTATTTTATAATAATTATATAACAGATGGAGTCACCAAATGTTGCGAGAAAGTTAAGCAACTTTTGAAAGTTGCAGGACTTTTTAAATAAGTCTTTGTACCTGCGAAAGCCATTTAATGGAGTTTTCTACAATTATATTTTGTCACGTTTTACAATTATAGCGTGCAATAAAAATTGTCACGTGAATAAGTATAATACATTTAAACACCTTTTAAATTACAACTAAATATTCTTATAAATCCGTTTGTGGATTTCGTAACCAATCATCATCGTTTCCTTTTAGTGAACTTGTATATAAAATTTTGGTGTCTTTTAGATACAGTAGCCAAATTTTAAGAAAACTAAAAAAGATGATGGCCTTGACTTACGACGGCAAAACATCTCAGAAAACTAAACTGGAAACTATATTTAGCAAGTTAAAAATGGTATCTAATTTAAGAACAAGATAAACACGTGATATACATTAAAGTCGATTTCTCTAAAACCATTTTTTAAAATTTTGAATTAAATAATTATACAATCGTTCCATTACGGACTTTCGTTGCATTTATCGTAGAAAAAATAATTTTTTATACACAAATAATATATCGATAAGCGTAGATTATTCCCTTAGATGACATGCCAAACGAGCAATTATTTATTGTGGCTACAATTTCTTATCGTATTTTAAATTTATTTAACTTAAAATATACGCTCTCCACCTCAGATTAACAGTGGCTCGCTCCTGTAAATCATACTTTTCCCTTAGCAATGGAGTCGTGCTGATCGTCTATCTAACTCCTTTCGGAGGAAAATATTTAATAATCCATTTGTATCGCCATCTGTTAATAATTTCGATATTATCCATTACTTAATTAATTAAATTAATTATATTAACGAAAGTAAGAAGAAAACACGATTTCATACGTAGAGAAGGTGCAGTTGTAATTGTAATATCAAAAGATTTTTGCTAATTTTTCAGCTTTAACTTTAGACATTGTAGAAAGAACTGACTAAATAAGCATCTACTCGGCATCTTAATATAAAAAAGCACAAGAAAAATTTATTTTTTAAAAAAATATTAGGCTTATTGTAAATTCATAAAGTGATTTAAAGAGAAATTTGTATGCCAAACAGTTAATCTCCTGTCTCTTGTAGAAAGTTTTTCGATTTTTATAACAAGATCTAGAACAGTAAACTTTCTACTTAATCGTATCATTTTCTGTTTATTTCTTAGGCCTATTTTGTTGTCTAAACTCATTTTTCTTATCTTGAATTTTTATAACTGTATTAGAGCCTTAGAAATTCAAAAATCTGTGTCGCATACGCAATATATCATTCGTATCATGACCCGAAAATTCACTAGACACGAATTCGATTGCAAATTCTCCACATAAAATAAATAAAAGAAGAAAAAAAAAGAAGTTTAAAAATGTTCTTCTAAAATGGATTTGGCACCATAAGATTACGTAGAATCTTTGTTACTAGCTGATTGAATCAACGCTTCATAAAATTCCATTTTTTTTTTTTTTAAAAAGTTAACTGTAATGCAATGAAATTTTATCTATTTACTTACGTAAAATTTCTAATAAATCGAAGTCATTTGCTTAAAAAATTTTAAACAATCGTTAATTTTTACGTTCCCGTTTGTTATATGTAATAGAGGGAAAGTATGGCGATCGGCCAAAAGATGCCCCCCTAAGATTTTTATATTTTTGGACTCGGGACACCTTGAAACGTCGAGAAATGCAAAAAAATCGGGTGTTTTTTTTTCTGTATTATGAATATTAGTATGTGTGTTTGGGAGG